TCTACGGGCGGACTCCCGGATACGACGTGCGTCCGGAGAAGCCGCGCCGGATGTACGTGGCGCCGTACGAGGTCGACCCCCGCATCAGCGTCGCCAACGGGTACTCCAGTACTTACACCCACCGGGTGGAGGAGAGTCCGTACACGAAGAGGGTGGAGATCCATCGCCAGCCGGTGGAGTATTACGGGGCGAGGCACGAGGGCGGGAGGCACGAAGGCGTGAGGCACGAGGGGAACTCCTGGGTGCCGATTCAGAACAAGGGATACTATTAGTTCTCGTGCCATGCCGGTTCCACTATTTATTTTAGATTTATAAATATTTTTTAGATAATATAATTGGATGCTGTCGATCGGGTTGGAATTCATTTCCTCGGAGAAATTTCGGCTCGTAGCGGCCGAATTCCTTTTCAGCCTGCCCTAATGGAAGCCGTGAGATGAAGTAAATGCTCTCATATATTACGGGGAGAGGCTGGAGCCAGGGTGAGAAGCCTTTGAATGGATTTCCTTCCCAGTAATTTGTCCCGAGGCTTCATAAAGGCGTCTTAATTACTAGCCCGGCTTCTCTCTCGCTCTCCCTGAAATTTATAGGCGACCCCCCCTTGCAACCCCCCCTCGCGATCTTCCCTTCTCGAAGGGGATCGCATCCACCTGGAACCGGGGGGAGTCGTCAGTCGGCTTCGATTTGTATCCGGTTGGGGATTAATCAGGTCGACTTCGAGGCTTGCGCAATCCTCGAAGTCGGACTGGAACCGTCGACACGTAAACCTTTTTTTTTTCTTTCCCCCGTTATTTAGGGCTTTGGAAGATTGCTGGGCATTAGGGGCGAAGTGATCCGCACGCGTTCGATCTTCCGTGCTGTTTCCATGCATCAATCGGGTAGCTAGAGTGTAACACGTGTGGATTATTTGAAAAGAACCGAGGCGCAGTTTGCCCCTACTGCCTCACCATGTGCAGCAGGCGCTAAAGTCATTAGAGAACGACGTAAAGGGGTGGAGGGAGGGAGGGAGAGGGGAAGGGGGGGGGGAAGGGGGGGGGGAGGGTGGTTGGTGAGGCACACGAATCGTTTGCAGACTGGTGGAAAGGCAGCGGAGAGCTGTTTTCAGAGGGGCTATTCATATGAGAATGGCAAGAATAAGGGGTACATGCACTGGAAACAAGTTATAATTGGACGAAATTTTAAGGTGCCTATCTTTGGAAGCCTCAAGATGCATGAATAAAGAGCCACATCGAAATCATGCCTGCTTTCCATCAGGAGTGAGCTACAACAACAAGGTGACATACTGGGAACGGTTTATTTAATGATCAAACTTTTCAGTTGGAGTGAAACTCACAGGGAAAGATACCATTCAGGACCAGAGTTCTTGTAGATTCTTCACCAAGATTCTCATTCCCTCTGATCATCACAGTTCTTGGAGATTATTTACAAAGGCTTAGGTTCGCTCCGTGACGAATACGACGATGGTGCAAAGAAGGTGGACAGGTTTAACATCCTTCACCGCGACGGCAACTGCCGATACGTGCGGTGCCGTTTCGCGCAATCTATGAACAATTCAATTTATATGAATAATATAGCTACAACATGAGAAGGTATCAAAATTGCAGCCAAATGTGGAAAGACTTTCGTAAGAATGGAAGCCAGGACAGTAGCACATGAAACAGATAAATTTTAAGAAGTTAACAAGAACACCCCCAGTTCGGTAGGGTTGAGGGGCCGGGGAATGCCTTCCAGTATTGCCTTTCTTTCTTCTCTGACTCCTTCAGCTCCCTTCTTCTTCGGTCCTAAGATGCTCTGACTGTCGGTCTTTCTCTTTGGTCCTCGGTCGCTTTGAGCACAGCCCTGACTTTTTGACCTTGATACTTCAACTGCAAAATCTCCCTCTTCGACTCTCGGTTACTCCAGATCCGAACCTTCTGCTTCCGCGTGTTCTTCCTCTTCTTCTGCTTCTGCGTGTTCTTCCTCTTCTTCTGCTTCTGCGTGTTCTTCCTCTTCTTCTGCTTCTGCGTGTTCTTCCTCTTCTTCTTCGGTTCTTGGACGTTTTACCCGAGGAGAACATTCCTCTGTGGTGCTTGAGCGTTTGAGATGCTGTCGAATTTCTTCATCAGATTCAGTTCTCTCTTTCTGCTGCTCATCTTTAGACATCTTCTCGAAAGCAACGCCAATGTAAAGGGCTGGAAGAGGGGATCGTGCCATCATTTGCACAAGCACAGCAGAGGAAGAATGAAGATGGGCATCATAAACGACTCACAGATGGCCTCCCATTCATCCTTCGAGAGGGTACCCACACGAACCGAGGAGTCGTCTTTGCCTCCCTCAGATGTTTTCCCGATCCAGTCTCGAGCATGCTGATACGATTCAGGGTTCCCTTGGGCTCTTTCCCCTTCAAATGGTGGATAGGTCTGCAAAGAATATATGGAACACAGGAAAAAAATCATGGGTTTGGATCATACACTTTGCAGCCACAGGAATGCAGATTTCTTGTTAGAGAACCAACTTCCAAAGCCTGCATGCGTCCAAGAAGCTGTCGTCCATCCGTTTTGTTTTCTCGAAATAACTCATGAAACCGCTTTCTATAAAGCAACCGGAGTCCATGCCGATTGGCCAATCTGCAAGGGTGACATCATAAATCAGATCGAGTCACTTGTCTTGGGAAGAGTAGAATGACTGAAACCAGCTTGGAAAATGTGAACTTGCCGTTTTAGAGTGGGAAAATGAACCAAGAATTCGGGACAATTGACCACTTCTTCCAAGGAAAAAAAGTATTTGGCACCAAACAGAGGAAGGGGTTTTGGCTTAGAATCAAAGCGTATCTTGTAAACCTCATTCCCAAATTCCTCAGACCCTGATTCTTGCCAGCGTGACCTGAAGAGGAAAATTAAAAAAATTTAGCCAAATTTCACTGAGGATTTTTTAAAGAGATACAATGAAGTAATAAATGTAAGTTAAAAAAAAATCCTGAAGTGGCACTAACATAATATCAGCACAGTCAGGCATGGTGAGGATCAAGAGGCCACCAGGACGGAGGGACTTGGCTGCGTTCTTCAGCATCATATTTGCCTGGGATAGGCTCTCGAAGCAGTAATGGAAGGAGAACTGAATGCTTGTGATGTCCACAGACATATTGGGGTCCTTGAACTTCTCCTGAATGACCTCTTTGGTCGAATCAGCTTGAAAGAATTCAGCAGTGAAGGTCCTCTCTCGATTCCCCGAGCGTCGCTGCAGATCGGCGTACCTCTGCCTGCAATGCTCGAGGGATGCATCGGCCAAGTCCGTGCAGATGAGATGACTGATGCCATGCTTTTGCCACTTGAGCAAGTCTCCACCCTTCCCACAACCAATGTCCAAAACATGCAGTTTGTGGCTTGGTGTCCCTTTCCTTTCTAGAGTTTCCACAGCATCAGCTACAGAGAAGATATAACAATGTCACTGAGGCATCATTGCACAAGTTCATGATGTCAAAAAAAAACTCTCATATCATTGATGATCTGACAAGTGGGTAGATATACCATTTCAGAATGTATTAGAAAAGATATTTTGGACTGCAAAATAAGAATTAGGGAACATTTGACATTCCTCTCTTGGGGAAAAGTAAACATTCTTCAGTCTGAAATAATGATAAATTCTTGATATTGAAAGCTCAAAATTTTCATTTGCCCTTTTCAGATTGTCAACAATACTTGTGTTGCATGTCAGAAACCAAGTACATGCAGCAGCTCTGGTCAACATAACAGCTGATTCAAAATAGGACTGGTGTAGAAGTCCTTTTTACATTCACTAGTTGCTTTGGGTGAATTCCCATCAGTTTTTTTTACATTCTGTGTCTGCTATTGATTCATCAATATTAAATAAACTGAAGAAGCTTTAGTGATCCTTCTAGTTTGGGTAGGAAAAAGGTCCAATAATTTTCAAAGTTGCATAATGTACAACAACTTCTTTATTTCATGTTTAAGTTCTCAGAATGCTGTAATGGTTCATGAGCTGTTGTTCTTGAGTAATCTTAATTCAAGATGACTATGGGTGCATTGAGCCTCATACGATGAGACACTTCATTCCCTTTGGCCAAAGCAGCAAGTCAACTTATGGTACTGTCAACTCCCAATATACTGCTACACTCACCAATTGCCAGCTCTTTCCTGGGAACAAATCTTCCTTAGTGCTTATAATTGGCTCACCCGTTATAGCATTACCCTTGTAAGCCACTGTCTGCCAACACCACTGTGTGAGCAAACATGCTTTTCCCCCACATAAATTCTAGTTGATTTTGTACAATGGAACATTTGTGCCACAACCCTCATCCAGCACTAAACACAGTTACACATACATTGCATTGTGAGAGGTGACTCGTAGCCATAGGAGGGATAGTGCTTAGGACAAGTGTAGAGCATCAGAGGTTAGGTTTAAATTAGGATGGCAAAATAAGCTTCACATTCATGAAGTGAACTTTTTTTTCAAAGATTTTGGTATTGTAGCCACTAGCACACTGCAGTTCATTTGACATAGCACCAAAATCAGTGATGACCAACAGTATTATTATCGTATTGAGGGTTGACTGTTATTAAGCAGCTCATGGCAGTAAGCTCAATTCCATCTTTTTTTTCAACACCATACCCCCTTAATTTGCAATGGACTTATTCTTGCAATGTGAAAGGAATGCAAGTTAAGATCTCTACAAGCAAAAAAAGCCTTGCTTCATTTTAAATTTTCTATCCTGTAGCAAGGGATATTAGTGTTTGGCAGCAATTGCAGTTCACAAGGGTAATCACTTATTTTTTAGGAATCCCCTTTCCCTGTCTCATGGGAAAAAAAATTCATTTTTTTGCTGTGGCAAATAGGAAAGGAAGCATCATAATTAGGGATGAAACAACTAAGAAGGCATTGAAGATTCTCCCAAATGAAAAACCTCTTGTCTGAGAGACAAGAGGAGAAAGGAAATCCAAACAAAGTAATGGATTGACAACAACCCAGACACCCAATTTACTCATTTCTCTTCTACACATGCACTTTCACATTCTTTTCTATCTAAATATCTTCAAACAAAAACTCTTGTAAATGCATATTCATGACAAAAAGAGGTTTTACAATAGTCCAAGACTTCATCAACATACATAGAATCATACTCTTGATCCAATTATTGAAGTTCCTCATGTAGAAGATTCTGCTCTTTGACCTTTCAGTAAGGCCTGTTTCCTTCAGTTTGTTGTAATGCTCAGCTACAACATGGCCAAGCTGACCAGAAGGGGAACTTATTCCTGAAGAGGATTGCTGGGGAGGGCCCCCTCTCACTGTCTGCATATCCATGATTGGTGGGAAGTCTTCAAAACCAGCAGGACCCGTGAGTGGTATAGGCTACCATATAGCCCAGAACCTCAGTCAATTCACAGGATCCTGGAAAAGAAGAGAAGAGGCATGAAAATTAACATTAGTAGGCTTTCACAGACTTTCAATAACTTCAGGTTAATTTGGACTTCAATTATTTATTGGCATGGGGGAAGAAGTAAAAACAATAAAAATAGCAATAAAAAAACTGAGCCCAGGAGCTCCACGGAAATAAAGCATTCAAGCTTGCCTAACAAGTTTAACACGAGCTACTTAGACTCAGAGGACTTCAATGGAAGAAATGAGAGCGATTCCGACTTTCACTGAAAATGGCCCGGCAGTCAGACATTAGCATGACCTAACTTAACCCACACAGTGAAATTGGATGACGTCAAATATAATCGAATACAAGGTATTCAGATCTTCCCCACCGAACATTTTCTATGTAAATTCCAAGGACTCAAAATGAAAAAGTAGGAAGTCAATCGGGAAAGGCATGAAGTTATTCCAAACCCACTACGATGCCGCCACCAATAAGGGCGTGGATGGAGCCATGAAGAGCCGAAGGTTGCTGAATGTATGACTCCGTTTCATGAGAACGCAGGTTTTTCTTTCTCTCGAATTGTAAAATAATCAAATTTAAAACTAATTGCTCTTTTTCTAGTTTGTTCTTAACTCAAGCAACTGCCTCATGCAATGGGAATTTTCCATGCCACATATGGCAGAATAAATTTGAGTCCGGCATCTATAGTTAGAGCCAGCCAGAAAGTCTTCCACATTTGGCCCAGCTTCTGCTAGTTTATCTTTCGCTATGTGATAGTGGTTCTCATTGCCTTCCCACTTCGTGGGTTTCTTGGAAAATTTGGTTCCATGTTTCGCATCGCCATCTCAATTTTTGTTTCATCTATGAAATGGTATGCACTGGTCATCACGTAAGCGTAGGCCTAAGTCGGCGTGGGGAAATCAGCTGGTTTTCTTCTATTTTTATTCAGGGTTCCAATGAGGAATTGCTCACGTCACTGGAAGCATTGATGAACGATTTCTTTTCACCTTGCACGACGAATGATCGCAAGCGCGAGATCGAGAATCTCTTGAACAATTTCAAGCAGCAGCAAAATGCATGGAGTCTCTCCTTGTGGTTTCTGAACCATTCCAACAATGATTATGTCAGGATTTATTGCCTGACGACTCTTGAGGTGCGTTTCATGAACTGTGTGGCACAAATCTGGCCTTTTTAATAAGCAGAAAATTTTGTAAATTTGAGTCTTCCCATTCTCATAATTACAGTATGTCGTCAATCGGAAGTGGTTGGGACTGGAGACGAGGGAGAGGGTTGAAATTCGATCATCCCTGGAGAAATTTCTCTTGGAGACTCACCTAAAGGCTCCATTGTTCATGAAGAATAAGCTTGTGAAACTCATAGTTGATATTGCTCGGATGGAATGGCCTCATTTCTATCCAGATTTCTACACTAATATGTTGCAGGTATGGAAAGTCCCTTTTTTGCCATTCAGACAACAAAGACCAATGGACTTAATGCAGTTTCCTTTCTCCCTCTGACAGATGCTACAATATCAAGACACTGTGCCACTTGGGCTCAAATTTCTTCAGATGACATCTGAGGAATTGGGTTGCCCTCGGGAAGATCTGTATGCTGCCAGGAAAGAAGAGCTTCGGAAGCTCCTTGTGGCCCAGATCCCCCAAACTCTCAATGCTTTGACTGGTGAGCATCTTGAAAGATATAAATTTAAAAATCATAGTAGAATAAGGAAAGGTATGCAGAGGTTATCTTTAGTAATGTTGATGGTTGCCACTGCTCCTGGTTTTGACTTGGGCTTTAGGATTCAAAGATTGTGTCTATGGGCTCCTTGTCAAGACTCAGATTTTTCCACATTTGAAGAATTTCCATGAAAATTTTTTCTTTTTTTTTTTTTTCATTGAGCAAAGTGTTGTTTTTGGGAATGGAAGAATGTAGTCTTAGATACTCTAAGAATGCTCTATGTGGCCTCATGCAGGGGTCCCTCTGTCAATTAGGTTGTATCATGGTTGCCCATTCCATACTACATTCCTTGGGTTTCCTAGAAAACTCTCATTCCTTCAAATCTTAGAATACCACATGCACCAATCTGACTGGAAAATATCTAGCCTACTGTTTGGTTTACAGTTTTTGGTATAAAGCAATAAAAGACTATGCTATATTAGACCTGTCAACCCTTAGCCCTTTTGCCTCATTGAGAATAGTGGCTGCTTTTCTATTGACCCAAGTCCTTGCCTATTGTGTCATAACTTTGGGAGAAGAAACATATCACTTTCTTTGATTTTTTAAATTTTATTTGTTCCTAAAGGTAAAGGAAGACTGAATTTTTAAAATTGAAAAAAAAAAACTCTCCTGTATCAGCAAGCAAATTAAACATTTTCAGTAAATGTATCTACTGTTTCAGTTTGACTTTTTTTTAGGACTGTCTAGAATTGAAAGAGTTTTAAAAGAAAATATAACTTTCTTAGTTTGAGAAGATAATATTTTTCTTTTCCTGATATTGTTGCCAAGGATCATAAGTACCAGCCCAACTGTTGTGACTTATTTGTAAATGTACTTGATTTAATCCTCATCCATTAGTGTTGCTGGAGGGAGTACTCGATAAGCATAAACATAGAGTGACGGCCACTCCTCCTCCATCTCCCATACAAGGGAACGATGAAGTTCCCGATGAGTCGATGGAAGGCAAAGGTGGGTTTTGTGCTCTTGGTCTTTGTGAGTTTTGCTATTTTCATCATCCTGTACTTATATGCACTCATTTTAACATTTTGCTTCATTTTTCTGGCTTGCAGACAGCCTGATGAGGGGGATTCTGAAGAATCGATCAGAAGAAGGGAAGAACCTATTTTGGACCCTACCGCCATTAGACCCAGATACAAGCGACGTCTGCAAACTTGCTCTCCAAGTCCTTGCCCATTTGTTTTCATGGATCCCTCTATCAAATTGCATCTCCTCCAATCTTTTACATGCCATCTTTCAGTTTGCCAGCTTTGGAACAGATCCCCGAGTAAGAATCAGCAGCAAACTTTGGCTTCTGTAGAATATGAAGTCTCTGCTTTAATAGCTGAACTATTCTTTGTCAATTCAATCACTTATTATACTTATTGTGCTTTTATTTTCCGCAGATTTGGTAGAATGGATGTAAGATGTGGTAGTTACAAGCATGGATATCACATTTTTATTGATAGAGAATCAAGACTAGTTATGACAAGAGAACAAGAACAAGTTACAGAGCAGCAATCATTAAGGATTGCTGCTCTATAACTTGTTCAACCAGTTCGCTCTGAATTAAGCTAGGGAGTTCAATATCTCATATTTAGCTCTCATTGAATGACATCTAATGCAGGACAAAAATAATTAGGGGAGTATAAACTTTTTTATTCATGAGTACCACTCATTCAGTAGCACACACTGGCCAAGATACTTACTCCATGAAGTCAAAACTTCACTGAAATGTTTTTCATAACTCTTGTTATTGTGCATCCTGGTATATTTCAAGATCAAAAATGCTCACACCATGGTTGAACTGACATGAAATGGTCCAGCTCTAATTTGAAAAGAAAATACAAAGGGTGTATATTTTTTTTTCCAGCATATGGATTCAAAGGAGGGGGATTGTATGGATGAGCCCTTGATGGGGGAAACAGCCATGAATGCCATAAATGAGATTGTTGGTAGAAATTGTGTACCTGGAGAGTTCCAAGACCTCCTCCTTGAGATCTTCAGAAACACCTTCAACATACTTCAGCGTCTCCTCACCGAGGAGAGCCTTGCTGCCAATCTTCTCCAACAGATTCATCCCAAGTTGGTTTCATTAGATCTTGTTGGAGGACAATGATACAACAGCAATATGTTAGGTGTTGATGCACTTGTTAATTATTTTTTTAGGTACCTGGAGAAGTTTACAGACTTCTTAAGGTTGTTTGTGAGTATTCACTTCACTCGGTTTGAATCCCATCCCAATTTCCCTGTGATGGAGTTCCTGGATCTGCTGTTCAAGTTCACATTTCATCAGCCAACAAATGATGGTTTCTTTGCTTGCCTTGAAACATGGCATGTCTTCTTGGACTGTCTCTCAACAGTACAGCAGATGCGCCATGGATATAAGACATCTCTTACAGACCGGTGAGCAAGTGCATCAGGGATTTGCTATTGGTTTGGCAGTCTTTCTTGTGTACATGCAAGTGCAGTGATTTCCATTATCTCTTGCAGATATCGTGAAGCCTACGAATCTCTGACACTCCAGGTCTTGCACAAAATCCAGTTCCGTTACAACCAACCACAGCTGGAAGAGATGGATGATGAATCTCTTGATGAGAATGTGAGTAATTGCATTATTCTCTTTGGGCATAAGCAACCTTGAAATTATTTGTAACTTCTCTCCCACTTGTAGGAAGAGACCGAGTGGCAGCATTTTCTCCGACAGGGAGTGGAATTGATAGCCAAAGTTGCAGAGCTCCTGCCAGATTACGTGTTCTCTGCCGTTCTCTACCCGCTGGATGAGGCCTTGCAAGTCTATTTCAAACTGGAGACAGCTGTTGTGAATGAGAAGAAAGGGGAAGAAGACATCCGGAGACTCACCATCACAGCCGAACAGGAGTGTCGGAAGCTCCACTGTCTCCTTCGTGACCTCTCTTCCTTCCTCCAGGCAGCTGGGCGCATGAGCGAGTTCTTCATTGGGGAAAATTTCCAGCCCCGCTTGCCTATGGCTGAAGCCATTGTCAACAAGTGCATTTAAATTTCTTCTACCTATCAGATTGCTGATCATCAGGTTGTTAAAGCTCACAATAACTAATACTCTTTACGTTTGCCAGAATCGCAGAGACGGCTCAATATGGGAGTCGACTGAAGCTTTTCCAAGTCCAGACAGCTGTGAAAGTGTTAAAAAGTGACTTTGCAGAAGCGTAAGTCTTCCAAGTTCTCATTTGTAGCCTTTTTCATGTTTTCACTGATATTTTGAGTCACTTTGAAATCACATGGAGACTTTCTATATAGTAATATACTTGCTACCCTGCACTGTAGGCACGCACAGTCGTTTGCTGCCCTGAAAGCATGGAGTCATTGGCTTGCTCAGTTTTATGGGGAGAGCCTAAGGAATCCAGATCATGCTGATCATCAGAGGTTTCAAGAACTTCTCACATCCATTGTGACTGCTACAGTTCCTATGATATCTGTAGATGTGAGGCTTCTTTCCCTCATTATCCTTTTTGATACCTTTGGAAGATTTTGAAAAATTGTTTGTATGTGACCTATTGGTATTTTGTGAACCCTAGATGCCAGATAAGGTGATGCATTCCAGTCTTCATCTACTGAACACAATTACTTCCACTGTGAGACCAGCCAAGATATTAGACATGGAGCTTCTACATCAGCTATATCAACATTGCCCTTCTTTTCATCTCCCTCGTCAAGTAGTGCATTCCTTCCTCATTCATGTACTTGTTTAGAAGCAAACAAGGATCTGAAAGAATGGAACATTTTACTTGCACAGGACCGCTTGTTGCTGTACCGTGCTATGATGAATTCCCTAATTCTGCCCTGGCCTGGGAACACCGATCAGCAATGGGAAGTGAGAGAGCAGCACATTGCTGTCTTTGTTCGTGCCATTACAGGGAACTTCCTCTCTCTGAAGCACTCTCATGACTTCAATTTACACTCTGGTCTCCAAGATCGCAGTAAGGCTGACATGATGTGATGAAGGACATCAGTCTCATTGTCAGTTCTTATATGGATTTATTCCTTGTTATAGCAAAGGAAGAGATTAAACAGACAGTATGGATCCTTGGAGATCAGGCAGAGAATATAGCCGAGGAGACGACACGAACCAAAGCGATGCTCTTTTCTGCCATACATCTCCATGTCTCCACAGCCATCCAGATCCTCCCTGCTGTAATCAACATTGCAGGTAAAACAATCTCCAAAAGTTTTTAACCTTGTGGAGGGACTTTTTATGAGCTTAATAATTTTCTTATGGTCTCTCTCTTTGTGTCCATGCAGATGTATCAGAAGAATTGCTGGGGTTTTTCCTGGTACTCTTTCGTGTATTGAGAACCCAGATGGGCCCTTCTTTGACTCAACAGACCTTAGAAACTCTCCTGGGTGCATTCTCGAAGGAACACATGGCCGAGGCAGTGATGAGCAAGGCTCGTGTCGTTGAGCGTTTCCTTCGGATCCTGGAACTGGTTATGCAAGAACCTGGATCTGCATTCCAGCATTTCATTCCATCCACACTTTCCCTATGCCTGGAGCACATTTATCCATCTCTGGCTGATGTGAGTGTACTAGAATAAATTTTTTTATGCATTTTAGTGGCATGAAATGTCAACAATGAGAATTCCTTCTCTGCAGAAGCAATCTGATGTGAAAGGGCCTCTGTATGATGTCCTGACTGCCATTCTTGTGCATCACCACAAGTATTTCTTCAAAACAAATATCCTCACATCATTGGGTGCACCAGGTTCAGAGATCCTTGAGAATGAGACTCACTTCTCAGGCATCATGAGTGCCTTCATTCAGTCATTCCAACAGGATGACATCTCACTCTTTAGACAGAATCTGGAAGCCCTTGAGAAGATGAATGCCAAGTGGAAACTGTTTCACAAAGTGAGGATAGTGCAATAGGGTATTCCTCTTCTTCCCTCTGGTGCATGGCTGGATTGTGTTTGCTTTGCATTTCAGGAGGTGTTTTGTCAGACAATGGCCTTCCCTTTCTTGTCCTCACTGCTTCACGTTTTGGCTGAGAGAACCCATGACCTGGTGAAGGAAGAGATTGCAATATGCATGCATAATATAGCTTCAGCCATGGACTTTTCACCCTTTTTTGACTTCTTCCTCCCACATTTCCTCAATGAGAAGTGCTCTAACATCCAGACAAGACAACGAGCTGCTCTTCTCGATCACTTCCGTCGAGAGCAAGTGAGTATACCATCCTGACTTCAATCAGCACTTTTTTGCTGTAATTTTTGGAATTTCAATTCCTAAAATTAGAGCATGAATATGCCACCTCATATCAATTAACTTATCTGACTGCAATTTTTCTTCCAGGACCTGCCGACATTCACCTGGAACCTACACCAGTTTGTGAATGACCTCAGGTATTACCAAGTCCTGAATTCAGGACTGCCACCAAGTGCTGTGACCTTCGCGTGATCCTCCGCTGTGATAACACAAGAGAGGCTGATGGTGATTCCTTCTCAGATGACCAAGAGAGAAAGAGCCAAAAGCATATCCTGGGGTCAGTCCAATGACCATGAACACTTGGTTGAAAGTGGATGAGCTAGACTTGTGATGAATATCTGTGGCATAGTGAATCTGCTCTTCCAATGTCTTTGCAAATTGTGATATGCCCCATTTTTCATTTTGTGAGATTTTACCTAGCCCTTTTGAAATATGAGTCCTAAAATGGGACAATATACCAGTATATCATCTTTTATTCCAGAGAAATTTGGGGCTTTAGCATCTTTGTCTCCTTAGCTCCAATCAGAGACACATGCTAGTGCTGATGGACTGAGAGCCATGGTAAAAGGCAGTTTTCTTTGGATAGTACTTTCCCTGGCAGTCACTTTTTTTATGAGTCACATGTTCAAAATGAATTTTTTTATTCATTTATGACCCTGAGCATAACATTATTTCACTTTCTAGTCTTCCACCCATGAAATATCAGAGAAACATGGCTCAATGTCTCCTATTCATGCGTGGGATGCATGATTCTTCCACACTGCCCACCACACAGGAAGTTGTGCACCAAAGTGTGAAACGACGTTTTTTTTTTTTGCATGCCCAGTATGCATCACAGTTCTTCCTTGATCATCTGCCCTTTGCTTTCTTCCTTTCCTTCAACTCCTCTTGCCCTCTCTCCCTTTTGTTGCTCCTCTTTGCTGACTTTCATGAGGTCAGGGTCCTCACTGCTGCTTGGTTCACACTCCTCTCCTCTTCCTTCCTTACTCTTCTTGTTCTTCTTTTGTTCTTCTTTGCTGGCCTTTATCAGTGCAGGGATGTCTTCTAACCAAAACCTGGCATAAGAAAGACATGCTGCATAAACCGAAATTTCATAACAGGGTTTGAATGAAATGAACTTTCAAATACCATAATCTCAGGTGTTTCCTTTCCCCCATTAGTCTGAAAATGTAGTTATATCTCAAAATATTTTCTTTTTCTTTAGATAGAATCATTTCTGGGACAAATTTCCTAGCATATGCTTACAAGAAGCCTGAAAAAATAATTCAGACAGGGCTGTACAGTTCTTGTATACTTACTGGGAGGAGAGTGAAAGTCCTTTATCTATCTGCCGTTACCCATGTGGGAAAGGAAAGAAATAGGCACTGTCAGCACAAGAGCATTTGTTTCCCCATGGACTTTAAGGGGGGAATCTATGGTTTCCACGATTGCATGCCTTTGTTATGAATACTTTTTCAAGTACATCGTTAAATAGGTCTGAGAGGGTTTTTTTGACATCGCCCTCGGATGTCATTTATTCAACCTACCTGTGGAGTAATTTGTGAAGCTAAAGGCCTTTCTTAGCTTGGATGCCTTTTCCAAATAATTATGCTGCATCGTATAAATCGTATATAGAGCTACACAACTGCCAACTTCTTGTCTGTTCTTATTTCACTCGGGTGGAAAGAACCGTGTGTCTGTACACTATACTGGGAAGCTGATGGCCTGGGATTTCATATTTATGACTGATTTTCTTCTTCGCATGAGCACGGTCTTTGTCATTCAGTGTACCCTATGCAGGACCGCCCGGAGGGGCGGGGGAGCATCAGGGACAATCTGCCCCGGACCACGCATGTCAAGGAGCCTCCGGTTTAGTTTTGCCCTCTGGAAACATTTGGGCGGGCCTGGCCCTAAGTAGCGCACAGATGAGGAATTGGAAGGTTTTTCTAAATTTTTTTTTAATCGCTGGGAAGTGCTTGAAATAGCTCCCATCCACAGCGGAACCGATATCCAATCAATTTTCCAAGACGCCCTGTTGCCACGTAAATGGCCCTCTCGGTAGCCCGATTTCACCACCGCCTCCTCTCCACCCCCCCCTCTTCCCCACCTTTCAAATCTTGTATGGTTGAAGACCACGGTGCTCGCTGCACCACTGAGAGGCGTTCCAGAGTACGAATCGCAGCTGAATGCATCGCAATTTCCACTGGACCTCTCAAAACACTCTCTTCATTGTAGATTGTGAAGAAGAGGTTTTCGGTTTGCCGATCTTTACCTGAGGGCATCCTCGCGGTAACTCTTGAGCATCCTGGGTTGCTCGTCGATCAAGAAGTAATTCCTTTTGGTGCTCGGGTCGTAAGGAGTCCAAGGCTCGGGGAATGTCCTGCTCATTTCCTTCACTGGCACCCTGGCCAAATGTTACAATTTAATCATTAGTTTTGCTGGAATCGGGGATTAGGGGGTGTCGAGGAGAGAATCTCACCCGTATTTGATGAAATTAACGAGGAGAGGGATGAAGACATCCTCGCTGAACTGCTGGTCGAATTCATCCATTTCTTCTTGTGTCCCCCAGATGTCCTCGAACATATACTGAAGATCATCTCCATGTGCCACCCCTATTCATTTTTCATGAAACGTGCTTTCATCCCTCACAAAATCAAAGCAGCATGCCATTCGATAGCGACACGACACCCACCCATGTTGTCCTCCCCCTGGAACTGCACGACACTCTGCTGCCCCTCGTACGCAAAGACATAGGCATAGACGGTCGCATTCCCTGCCGCCAGTCCCCTGGCAAACTCCTCCGTGCACCGCGTGAACATGAAATCTGTCAAAAACTGGAAGACCAGAGTCCCCTCGCTCATCCTCCTTCCCATCCAACTCGAATCAGACATCCACCCACCTGTACGAACGCCGGCCGGAACACCTCCTCTTCCCCCGACTTCATCCCCTCGAAGAACCGATTCCTCACGGCCCTCGTGATCGTATGCAGCTGCGATCTGTAGTGGGACAGGACCGGGAGCAGTTGGGGCAGGTGCTCTAGGAAGTCTTCCTCTGCCTCCCCGGTGCTGAACGAATTCATGATCACTGCGGGAAGACGATTTCAACGAGATGATCTTGCGAACTTTTCCTTCTATGCATTATACTTTAGGACAAACTAAAAGAAGGCAAAGGAGTGGCAAAAAATCTCATATTTTATATATTTGCAGCATGAAGCTGGTTTCAATATCTAATTGGAGAAATACAATCCTTATGCCAACTCGTGCTTCCCCCCCCCCCCCATTTTTTTTTAACCAAAGTACTTTTTTTTCGGTTGATCCCAGAAATATAAGAGAACTAGCAGGCAATTACCCGTGAAATATTCACGTCTACTTTAAAGTTAATCGACTTCTGTCCCATAACACTTGAATGAAACACAGAGTCGGAATTTTGAACAGCCATATTTTGGATCACTAATATTGGGTGCGTCCCGTCATTCATCCCCCCCCCCTTCCCCAAATCGCCGAATTTCCCTATACACATTTTAGCAGGTTCGGTTCAATAATATTCAAATGAGACGCACGGTACGAATTAGGAACTCTCGTGTATCAGATTAAAGGAGGGGGGATGCTTCCTGTCCACGGAGAACCCCAATTTTCATTTATAGCAATTTTAAGAGAGTTCCTTCTCAGAATTCTAAAGAGATAACATTCGAATTTCAAAATGCCACGCTTTAGATAGGGATATACGGGATGCGTTGTGTCCGCAATTGCATGTATGCAAATTTTCAGCGAGTTCCGCCTGTAGCATTCAAGTGAGATACGTCGTTCAAACTTCGAACGCCAAGCACGATTTAGAGCCATACACGGGATGAGGATTAGCTCTTATTAGACCGACCCAACCCGCGGATCGGGCCGGCAGCTCGGTTAGCATTCAAGTTTCCTGTTGGGTGCAGGCGAATCCCCCATCAGAGGGGTCTTTTTCTCCAGCCGCTTACAGCTGCTGGCTGTAACCGGCCGAACACCTCGTTCTGTCAAGGCTCGACGCGATCACGTCATTAAATGACTTCACTCTCGGGCAAGAAGCTGGCAGCGAAACGTTGTGATCTATGAGAGCATTGAACAGACCGGCACGAGAGTGACGTCATGGGATAGCTGGAAGCGTCAGCAGAGGCAGCAGAGCCCCTTAGAAAAAGGACGAACCCTGAGAACCCGAGTTCAGAAACTTAGAGGCCTCAGCGGGCTGCGGGCTGGACCGATCGGCCCTACACGACCAGCAGGTGGGGTCCGCAAAACTCGGTCCGGCGATCGAGTTTCGGGTCGGGTTGGACCACGATTAGAATCGGGCCGATGGGGTCGGGTTCGGAAAAGTTCACCCGTCCAGGCCTCCGGCGGACAGACGGGAGGAAAGGAGTACGTCGGCTATTATTAAATAGATAGATAATGAAACTCGGCAACGGACATCGGTAGAAGGCAGCTCCTTCGTCCTTCGTTTGACCCATGAGGACGGGGACCCGGATGAATTCTCCTTTGGCCAGGGCCTCACCGGTGTCCCTCGGCAGCAGCTCCCCGTCTTCCACCATCCCGAACATCCGAGGGAAGGAGAAGAACTTCTGCAAACCACGAATCACGACAGTGGGTGAGTTCAAATTCGATGTTGGTGTTCCGTGTAATACGAACTCCACCCCTTAACACCAGATTTGAACTCGCCCTGTGGGTGTTGGTGTAACACCAGGTTAAACACGAAATGCCATCTCAATCCCAGTTCGGTGTTGGTGTGGAGGGGGTTCCCTATATTTCATTATGGGGTGTTACACTAAGCCCTAGGGGTTAAAACTAGAGCGAGTTCAAAGTGGTGACTGGCAGTAAGTAGAGACAAGAATCGTGCAAAGTTTTTAGAGAGATGGAAAGCGGGTCGAGACATCCCGAGCACGCACACGTTATGTAACGTGGTGCCTCAGCGGAAGTGCCCTCATAACCGAACTCTACTACCGTCACGCTCTCAGACGAAAATTTGAGTGTGTCTTTCGCTCCTGGAATCCTTGGCAAAAAAAAAAGTTTCCGCAACGTGGCAACGGCATTTCAGCCACTTCTTGACCGAAGTCTTTGAACAATGAACAGGGACTGAAAATATCACTGCATTCTATCAGAAGTTCCGATAGCGAATGATTTCTACTCATAAAGTTGTCCATCACAAGATCTAATTATTACTGCGAAACAGTCCAGAAGGTTCGGGAGAGTGTATTCATCGTACCAACATACTGTAGACCTAACGAGAGCATATAGGCGTAGGTAAAGTCGTCGTAATTCATTCGCAATCGCATTTCATGAGTCTGCCGCTGATCCTTAGCTGCACTATGTCTAACCCTTCAATTTTATCGTAAGCCTTGAACCTGAGAGAAAAATCAAAGCAGCCCTCAGATGACGCCGTTATTCTGAGTTCCACGTCATTGTTAGCGTTTGTGTTAACGTTCGTGTCAGTGTTAGTGTCGGTTTCGGTGTTGACACCGAAGTTGGTGTTAGGAGAAGCCTCTCGACACTAACACCGGGAGATAACACCAACACCTGATTTGAACTCACCCAGTGACACGTAATCAAAATCCTCACCAGAATATTTGATAAACGTTTACTCACAGACATCTCGTTGGCTTTCCTGACAATATCCGCCGCCTTCTTCACTCGGAGGCACCCGAGGATCTTTTCACCCTTGTTCCCTTCTTCCTCCTTCCGAGCCGGAGCACACCCGAGCCGCTTGGCCAGCTTCACCGCCGCCTTCTGCGGCTGAAGGCTCCGATACTGCTCGCACCGCACGTTCCCGCTCAACAATATGACCGACTGGAACAACCCTGTCGAAGCAGATTTTTTCGCAACCTTGACGAAACTCGTCCCGCGCGATTTGAAGACCGGAAGCGAGTACCTCGGGCATCTTCGACGAAGAGGAGCGCCGAGACGATCGCAGCGCCGGCGTCATCCCCCATCAGGGTGACTCGCTCGGGGTCCCCGCCGAATTCCTTCACGTGGTCCTGGATCCATCGGAGCGCCAGCATCACGTCTCTCAGGCCTGTGTTTCCTCTCATCGTCTCGTTCCCCAGGCTCAGCCATCCTATCACGATGACGTCATTCTCGCGGTCGGTTCGCAAGTGCTAAGGGTGAGGCTCCCAAAGGGAAAGATGACCCTTCCTACTCACCCAACGATCCGTCGCCGTTTTACGAGACGGAATAGAAAGCGAAAGAAATCACATGGAGATTTTCCAATTAACGACTCAACCGGCATTGTAGGAAATTCCCCACCGTACCCTCAAGGGAGGCGAGAAAACAAGGGAAAGCGCAACAGGGGACTCCCCTTTCCCCTCCGCTCGGCCAGCACTGAACGTGCTCGATGAGAAAGTCGTCCGTCCCGCCCGCATTCGAAGATGCGGCCCCCCCCCCCCCCCGTCGACAGAGAGGCTTGGACGGGGTGTCACCCCATTCCACACTCTTTCCTTCCGGCTTCAAGAAAATCAGTCGATTTTCTTGACTTCCTCCTTGTGTCAAACAAGGATGAAATCAAATCAGGCTGCATTCGACTGAACGACCGTAGAGATGCACACGCATGTAAGTTGCTCCCATCGTACCAGTTTAACTCACAGCCCATTAAAGTTGTTTTCGTTGACTGCGCGAATCGCTGGGATTCCGCGAGATGAAAGCCAAAAGGGTTTGAGAAATCCTCTTTGTCGTGCTCGACGGCACACGCACGACCCGTGACGTCGATAAGGCAACTAACCGCAAATCCTGCGTATTTTTTTCAACACATTGACGACCGGAGAGTAGGGTAAAGGCACCAGATTGTGGACAGGTTAAGGAAATTTTCCTCTTGAAAATTGCATTACGGGTTACTGGGGTAACTGAGAAACCGCTTGATTGGTTTCAATGGTAGGCCATTTATCATAGTTTGATCCCCATACCATAAAATTAAATATTGAAAATATATATGTTTCCAACAATGGCTGTTTAAATGGATATGTGTTGAGTTTCATGTGGTTCCTATTTGTGGACGGCCTGGTTCCAGCTTGTGTACATCAGCGGACCTAGTTTGTGGACACCAGCTTTTGTCAACGATTATGAACGTGCGTAGGCCGAATAGAAAAATATGGCCATGAGATATGTACAGCAGTTTTATTCATCTTCATTGATGTCCTGTTAATAAATTTTTTTGGATTGGAAAAATTTGGGAATTCAGGGGTGCTAGGTCTAAAACGAAGCAAAAATGTCCAAGTTCACTCATGCTGATGGGTACGCGTAATATATATGGTGGCTGACAAGTATGTGCAAAATATGGAGCATTTGAGGAAATAAATTTTCGGCGTGAGTTTTGTGAAATGGCAAAAAACGCAAACCTGTCCACAAATAGGCGCTCGTCCACAAACTGGTGCCTTAGGGAAATGCAAGCATCGAACCGCAAAGGAAGAGACTAGAAAACGCAGAGACCCGAAAAATGCCAGCGTCGGTTACATCGACCGACAGAAATGTAAAACTAACTTCCGTCACATGGACCGACTTGGTAACCAAAGCGGTCATTCTCACCTGAACCGTCATAATAAAACCATGCATATTAATTAATTAATCCATGCACGGACGGGACGGGTTGAACTTGCATGCGACACGTGCAGATGCACGGAAGAGGTGAAGAGGGCGTTTCCCACGTCTCCCGGATTCTTTTATGAGGAAATAAAGGAGGAAAGGGATTCGGAAGAGCGAGCACCTTCATGGGGACCCTGGCACCAGGGCGCCCTGCACGGAATAGCGGCTCGGATTCGGGTCTCTGCGTTTTCTAGTCTCTTCCTTTGCGGTTCGATGCTTGCATTTCCCCCCCCCCCCCCCCCCCCGCCCCCCCCCCCCCNGGTGCTTGCATTTCCCCCCCCCCCCCCTGTTTTGGATGCCGGTTGATGGCTTGGAAGTCGCTGTGAACTTGAGCAAAAATTATGCTTCCTGATTTTTTTATTATTATGCAAAAAGCTTACGAGTGATTGAAAATCGGTGAAAATCTGAGAAATCCGAAGGAAAATAATGGTGCGAAACTTGTTATGGTTTCGTTCCAGTTCGGAGGCCTTTTCCCCTCAGATATCCTTAATTACCAGCGAATCGAGAGCAACATTATTTCTTCCAAAACGGTGCGAGACGAAAACGAACGGAAACCACGGCCATGCGAAAAAAATCCCGCTTTCTTCATTATCGAGAGCAAGGAAGACCCAGGAAGTATATATTTTTTTTTGTTTTTACGAGACTGTTGCAATCTGCTCTAATGCAACGCATGTGAAACTTACGCAGGTCCAGATGAAGGTCGATGCTAATTGCCTGGTAAGAACGGTCGGTAAAAAGCGCTGAAGCAAAATCAGAAAACACGCTCGAAAACGCGCCCAAGAGCGACTAATAATTCAAATAAAATTCAACTCACGATAGCTATATTCGAAAACCGTTGATAACCAACGAATAACTTTTGTCTGTCAAGGGTTAAACCTCGATGGCCCCGATACTCGGGAACGACAACCTCAAGAAATTTCTCTCCAATATTGAAATAATAATAATAATAATAATAATAGAAAAAAAAAACCATAATGACACGCCAGATCGTTTTCCCTCAGACCCCCCATCCCCACCACCACCTCCCACCGAGGCGACTCACTCAACCGAGTGACTCTCCGACTCACCGAGCGGGCCCAGCCGGTACTGAAGAGTGACGAGGAGGATCCCGTGGGGGAGGAAGGCGTCGGGGGCGAAGAGGCGGGAGGGGGACCCGCCGTGGGAGAAGGCGCCGCCGTGGATGTACACCAGCACGTTCGCCGACTCGCGCGTCTGCACCGAGCAACGAGACACTCTAGGGGGGTTTGGGATTCAGCGAGGGGAGGAGAGATGGGTACGAACGTCTCTGGTGAAGACGTCGAGGAAGAGGCAGTTCTCTTGGCCGATCGGGGAGTCGCTCGCGAGTGAGTACTGGGGGCAGACGGGCTCCGTCTCTTCTTCGTGGGTTACGTCCGCGACGTCGTGAGCAGATCCTTCGTCCGCGTTGGGTAGCACCGGTGGCTAAAGGACGCGAGTCGAAAGTAGATGAGGGTGGGCAGCGAGTAAAAAAAGAAAAATTACGTTTATATCAAGCGAATAAGAAACAAATTCCGTATTTTATTCCCAATTTTTCTTAAGAGACTAAGGCCTATCTCTTAGAGGACACTCTCACCCGTGTGGATTCTTCTGCGATGGAAACGGAATTTAAAAAAAGAAGGAATTTCCTACCTTGAAACGAAGGGACCCGACGGGTGCCTTGGCGTAAAGTATCCGCGTGAACGCCATGTAATCCAAGCCCGACTCGGTCGTCTCCATCTTCCCCTTGAAGGAACCCCGACCCGGCACGACAACCACTGGCTCATTCGCCGCACTCTCCGCTCCCACCCCCAGGCAGAGGACGAGGACGTAGAGGAACATGCTCGGGGGATGGGCGAGACGGGTGTGATCCTTCTTTGCCGTCACGGTGCGAGGCGGTTCCGCGGGGGAGACTTTCGGTTCAGTCACCTCGGCGATGTGTTCCCTGCTTTCATTGTCACGGCCACCGTCTTCTCTTTCTATGCTAATTCTCTTCCGTTCCTCGTTTTCCTGCTCGAGTGTGGAAGGGAGCCAGCTGTTTTCCCCCCCCTGGCCTCGGGGCACATTTACTCAGTCGGGTCGGCAAAGAAACACAATTTTCCCAACGCAACATTTTATTCACGAAGGATAAAAAAAAATAAAAGCGGGAGGTCAGAGCGTGAGAAGTGCCCTCTGCTGATGCAAAAACCTCCGCTTCTTTTTCCTCTTCTTTTCCTTAAAGCTCTGAGTCGCATCGAGGAACAGCTCAACCTGGCCCTTTTCTTCCAACTTCATCTGTAGAAACTCCAAGCCGGCCACATTGAACCCAACCAATTCCTAGAGAGAGAGAGAGAAAGGTGAAAAAAAACCTCATCATGCTGGTTCATTATCCAACAGTCATTCATTAGTATTCATTAGTCAATCATTAGTAATTGGCCTAATTAAGTCCTATTGAAGCAAGCAGCCTCAAGCAGGTAAGTTGGAAACAGTAATGTCAAAAGGCAAGACAACATTAAGCTTAAATCGACAGAGATGCATAATTTACGAAAGGACATTTTATTGGCTTGCTAATCTCATTTCTCTCATGGACAGATGGAACACATCTTATTTCCATAAGATGTGTTTCACTTGAGGATATGCAATCAATATGGAAATATAAAAACGTAATGAAAGGTCTGCAACACAACTCTTGGCACAAATTTGCACCATAGGAGTTATGATTTGCTACTTTCTTAATCATATGGGAGTAGCACCACCCAGCTTAAATCATTCCAGTCCAATGTGCAGTCAATAATCAGGATATTTGTGGTAAAGAAATCACAGAAGCCCAGTAGAGAGAAGCTCCTCAGAAGCAGACACACTTGACATCTGCAATGGTGACATTGCTTTTCTTGCCCTTCCAACTTTGGATTGGATGCGGGAGATTTCTACTGGTAATCACCTAATGCAGCAAGTCTCATATAAAAGAGGAATGAAATGATAGAATATGAGAAAAATGCTCTCTTCTATGAAATGGGAGAAGAAATTTGCTCAAAACACCTTGCAACAGATCTCCAGTAGTACTGTAGCACTACTGTGAAAGCAGTGCAGAAATGAGAAAACCCTAGAGGAATGAAATAAGAGTCTAGTTTGCATGCCAATTTCTGGGTACTTAGATTGAACCCAAAGACCTGGATACAGCAACCATTTTGGTTGCTTAGACCCCAACCTATAATACCAGTTCAGTCAGTGCAAATCAGAGGATAAATGGAAAGAACATACCTCCATAGCTTTCATATTCCTGGAGACACTATCCTTGGCCTTTTGGAACAATGCAGGTGCTTGTGGATGAGAGAAGAGAATCCCTTGATGGACTCTAGCAAGGAAGCACAAACATCCTGTGACCCGCTCCGCCTCAATGTTCTCCTCGCATAGGTCGACTAGTGCTTCAAACAGTTCCATCACATGAGCCCGAGGCAATGCCAATAGTGTGCTTTCCAGTTCACTGAAGAAAAAATATCATCAACTCCATTTGTTCTTGATCACATTACTTTCTCCATTACACTTGATTGTGGATAAGAAGCTTACCTTGTTTCCAGCTTCACAACCATAGCTCTGATGAATTTCCTTGGTGAAACAGGAGGCTTGAGCCCCAGGATGAGTGAGAGCTGATCCATGTGAGTTGTATCTTCCTCTTTCCATGCAGACAAGCACTCCATGATGAAGTCCACCTGTAGAGAACAAATCATGAGGGAGAAAGGTTCATAATTAAGTTCATATGTATCCTCTATGGGAAAGCAATGGTTTATCATACTGATTTCTCAGTGAGGGCCTTGCGCTGGAGAAGAGGCTGGACTTCCTTGTTGGTTTCCCCAACAAGGACACCACCAACAGCCAGCTCTTGCTCAACCTCCTCTTCCCGTTCTCGCTCCTGTTCCTCTTCCAAAACAAGGATTTCATCTGTTTTCTCCCACAACCTTAATGTCTTGTCATGGGAGGCTGACAGGAGCCACCAACCATTCTGGGTCACACTCATCGTCCACACTTCAGCCTTGTGTCCCTGTATGGGTTCCCCTCATTAAGTCCCGGTTCACATTGATTAAAAACCCTGAGATAAAGAAGTCTCACCTTGAGTGTGGCAACACGGGTGAAGTGATCTGCATCCCATTGTGAAATAGACCCATCTTTGGAGCACACAAAAACAAGATGAGTGTCGGGTATGAAGTGAATCCCCATGATGGAATCTTCAGCTGCCAAGAGACTCTTGTGACAGTCACCAAAATCCAGGCCCCAGATTCGAAGATTTTTGTCAGCTCCACCAGTAGCAATAAGAGTAGAATCACCACTCACATCCATTGTGAGTGCAGGTAGACGATGTCCATACAGGGAGAGGAAAAACTGGAGGAATGGCATAACCATGAAATGAATGTAAATATCAATAATTACCTTGCACCTTCTGTCTTTGTCTAGCTCATAGCCCTACCTTCAGGGTGTCCATGTAGAAGATTTGAATGCTGCTATCAAGAAGAGATACAGCAAGGAGTCTACCATCAGGAGTGACTTTCACACACAACACGTCTTCCTTCAACTCAAGGGTCCTCATATGGATAAGACTCAGTTGCTTTCCCATCAGTTCGAAATCCCAAAACTTCACTGTCTTATCTTCTCCACCACTGACTATTCCCTTCTATAATGAAAATGGATTAAAGCCATGAGGAAACTATGTATATATATACACATATTTTTTTCAGCTGGTCTTTGAATAATTTAATAATACCATATTGGGGTATAGAGCAAGAGACCAAACAGGTAGGCCTCCATGTGCTTCAATATCCTCAATAAGAGTGCCAGCATTGACATCAAATATTTGTATCTTCCCACTTTTGGTACCCAGGAGAACATGTCGATCACCAGGAGCAAAGCAGCCACACAATGCATAGTCACAGGTTATTGTACGGATGCACTGCACCGTGTCTTCCCCCTCTTCAGTTCCCCTGCAGAAAGAGAAAGAATAATAATGTGTAGTAAGAACAGTGGTTCTAAGGTCCTATTGAGGACTATACTGGTGCATAACAGCAAAGAAGGTGGATAGGATGAAGAACCAATCCCCTCTGATTCTCACCGAAGCCAAAGCTTAAGGGACTCAGCTGAAGCAGAAAACATTCCTCTGCCATCAGAAGAGAAGGAAGCAACCCGAACATCAGATGCATGACCAGGACCTTCCACCATTCCCTCTCTCAAGACTTCCATCTGAGCTCCAGTCAGTCTCAGGTCTTGAAATTCAATCTTATTTGAACTCAAGACACACACAATCTGAATGGACAAGAAGAAAATGTGGTTTTCCCTGTACTTCCTGCTACGCAATGAAGACACTGCAGCAGAAATACTTGTACTCACAGATAACTCCAGGGTATCTGAAGACTGAGTGGCTGAAATATCCAAGCCTCGAACTTTGCCCCTCATTGAGAGAGATGACAATCTTAACACTCGATCTGCCAGGATGATCTCACTTGACTCAGTTGATACTCTGCAGCAGAAAGCCTTTGCTAAAGTTTTGTGCATGACAGTCTTAACTCTCATATATCAATAATTAGAAATGGGTATACATACAGGGACTCTTGTTGATCTTCCATGACGCTGGCAGTCAGGTTCTTCTTCATCCTTTTTCTCTCCTTTCGAAGTCTTTTATCTCTCTTAAGTTTAGCCTCATCCTCTGATTGCCACATCCAAAGTTCAACCTTCCCATCCCCTGCATTGCATGCCATCACACCTGAATCTTCATCATATGTAAGATAGTGTACTCTTTGAAGGCTTTCTCTCATTAGAGTCCCAACTTGATGGAAGGGCCCTTGGTGCTCTCCACTTACTTCCTCTTCAATATCCTATAGCAGGGATCAGGGCAATGAATTGATTAATTACTTGCATCTTTACTGCTAGGGGTGAAAAACTTTTGCATATTTTGAGTATATGCCCACAAGTTCTTGAGAAACTTGGCACTTATTATTTCACAACTTTGTTTCATCTTTGAGAAAAACCTGATCATTTCTGGAAAAATGCAGGATATTAATAATGAAATCCTGGTTCAGCTGTCCATGGACAGGTAGTCAAAACAGAAACTTTTATATAACTATCACTTCACTGGATCTACACTCGTAAGGAGAGATGTGACAAAAGGGACTCACATAGGCATGGAGCTTAGTAAAATCAATCTCCCACACACGTAGCTCAGAATCCCCACAGCCAGTGATGAGAAAGGTATCCCTAACAATGGTGAAGTCCCACACCTGCAAAACATAAGAAAAACCCTTAAGAATCCAGGCTTCTCTATTATGGTTACAAAGAAGTCGGATGATGAAGATTAGATAGCTCACAGGGGTCTTGTGCCCAGCCAAGGTGGCAATGGAATGTCCATTATTCAAATCCCAGATTTTGAGCACTGCATCCTGGGATGATGAGGCAAGGTAATGATGCTCATCATGAGTGAGAAAATGTACCCTTGTGATGGATCCTTTATGTCCATGGAGACGGTACAGCCCTCGCTCTGCCACCACATCCCAAACGATCAGTGTGGAATCCTGTGGGGAATGTCAGTTGGTGATGATGACTGCATGAGTGCAGAGTCCTGTGTTATGCATTCCCCCACACCATACTGTGTTTGGCATGAATGCAACAGACCTTACTCCCAGATGCAAGCCTCATTCCAGAGTGATCAAAGGCCAAGGAGGAGATTTGAGTTCTGTGACCTGAGAAAGTGATCTGGGCTTGACCAGCAGGGAATCTCCAGAGCTGTAGAGATCCATCCTTGTACCCAACAGCAAGAAACCTTCCATCCTCAGAAGGAAGAAGAGCTGTGGCCTCAAACTGCCCTCCTTGCAATTCCTTCACCTGCATTCATTTTAAATATTCATGGAATAAATGCACTATTTAAATTTCGAACCTTTATATGGTAGCAGATACACTTAATTACTCTGCAACTCTCCTGCTTCCCTGAAAAGAGTTCCCATGAAGTCCTTCTATAGCTCAATTTTAGCAGCAACATGCTTTGCACTTTAAGAGTGGAAGTTGACTGGCCCAATTAGAAAGCATGGCATTCCCTGAGATCTCAACTCATTAAGCTTCAACATGAACATTCCCAATGGTCACCAATAAATCATGCCATATTCTATAAAGAACCAGAATATGTCGGCAGAGAAAGCTATAACTTTGCCCAATAGAGTACAGACTTCCTGTGGGTCATAAATGTGGAGAGGCAAGCCTTAGCTTCAACATAATGCCATCGATTTCACTCACCTTAACTCGAGATCTCAAATCCCAAATGACAGAATATTCGCAGACGCCGGTGACGACAGGTCTCCTCCCAAAGCGGAGATTTTTTGGAAGGAATCGGACTCCAGCTTTCGTGCCTGCTATGCCATTAAACACATTCCGCGCCTCGAACCGCAGGTACTGTCTCGTGAGCCCCATACTTGGGGTGTGCTAGATTTCTGGTCTAATGCAAGGGCAAAAGGCGTGAATGCATGTCTAAGCAACTCAACCACGTGCTCTCAGGATGAGGTATGATGAGTGGCGACATCTTACAGGAAGTTGCACAGCTGCCGGATGGAGTCTTACTGCTCCTTTTTATCATGAATACTACCTCACTCAGGTCAGTCCGCTGCTCCACAAATAAAATTAAATGTTGTGAAGAATATTTATATTTATATAAGGTCCGCAAAAGCAGGCACTCTCCCGTTCATGGCCTTATGGCTTATGGGGGAGCATGCGGTTATCGAAATGACAACCATCAGCAGGCTGACGGCGGGCTCTAACGTCATCCTGTTATGGTGCCATGCACTCTAAAGTGCCATGTGATTGCCAGGCTGTTATCTTTGTTCACGTTAAGTCTAGGATTTCGGGTTTAAGCTGTGAAATCCATGCCGGATAAACTAGGTAGTGGATCTATGTGGTCTGTGGTTATCAGGTTTTCCGTTTAATTTAGAAATTCAACCCTTAGTCAAACTGACCACAGAATCTGATGGTCACAAACTTTAGGCCTGGCCATTCCTTGTAGGCGAATGAGAAGTGCATGCCTCATCTAATTTCTTCCTAGCCTCATATTGGTGTATTGTATTTAACGTTTTGTGAGAGTGAAAAGCACCTTGAAGAGCAGCAAGAGTATGGCAGCTAATGATATTGACAACTCAAAGTAATGCTGGTGTTCATTGCTAATTTTTGTTGCTAGAGCTAGATTGGTGCTGAGTTGAGTGATCCACGTTCCCTATTATTAGCTTATTGGGGGATTTGTCTGCATGAAGAAGTTGACAGTAAGCAAAGGTAATAAAAACAAAGATCCAGTAAAATGAGGATTGATTGAATTTGTCTCCTTTCCATTTTATTGGAGATTTGACATGTTTTGGAGGTTACAGACAAAGAGTTCTTGCTTCCTTGAAATGTTGAGATATAGTTGAGACCTTTAGTTTTTTCTTCTATTTATGTGTAACAGAATATATAGCTTGCACAGAGGGGCACAGAATCAATGTAAAAAAGTCTAAATTTGTACTTTATCTGCTGGATAGGAAAAATGAGGATCCTGCTTCTGAATTGCATTATTTCTTCCTGCATAAGTGTGTTATACTGTCATTAAAGTAAGAGCATTGCAGTCCTGTCTGTAGCCCAAGCCTAGGAGTATCTATGACTGTGGCAATCAGAAATTCTACTATGCTTTCCTTAAATAAAATGTTATGTAATTTTTTAAGTTCCATGAATTTATTATGCTAGTGTTCATTATTTTTAGATGATGTTATGTATGATGGTGAGAAAGATGGGAGAACCCAAGTAGGTCTAACCTTGGCTTGAGAGGCTGCCCCATCTTGCAGAATAGTTGATCTCGAAGTCTTCAATGCTGACAGACCTCAGCCAAGACATCAAGACATCTGATTGGTATCAAGTCATAGCCAGTAAATAAATCATTGGTAACTGGTCCATGAAAAAGCCACTTTTGATTGCTCATCTCTTGGGACAACTTTCATGCAACAAAAATTATCTTCGTGTCAACCTTTGCCTCTGGTCATCTCCTGCAAAGGCTGAAGCTCATTCATTAGTGAAGAGCTGCCTTAGGCAATTGTCAGACTCTGCTTGTATAGACACAAAGGGTGATTCAACTGATTCTGACATCATTGCCAGTGGAAGGTCCCTGATGCGAGTTCTCAATGTTGCTGAGAAAAATGATGCAGCAAGGACTATTGCTGAACTTCTATCTCAAGGCTCCTACAGGAGGGTGGGGCACCTTTCTTTGACTCCCATCTGCTGTCATACCATTGAGTTCCTATACCATTAATTTTTGTGTTTCATTTCTAGAGGGAAGGATTATCAAAATTTAACAAGATTTATGAGTTTCAATATAACCTGCTGGGACAGCAATGTCAGATGGTTATGACATCTGTGTCAGGCCATTTGCTCAACCTAGAATTCATAGGTGCTTACCGGAAATGGGGAGCCTGTGATCCTTTAGCCTTGTTTGATGCTCCTGTTGCCAAGGCTTGTGGAGAAGATTATATGCCTATCAAGGTAAGAACTTGAGTTGTAAATTTGCTTTGAACTCCCTGGCATGTCTATATATTTTTAATTATTACTAATCAACTCGCATTATGATGTAGTTTCCAATCAGGCTGAAAACTTGGAAAACATTTATTGCTTAAGTCTTATTAGATTTTTTTAATGGGGTTTTTTGTTTTAATGGGGTGAGAGAAGTCAGCTTGGTCCAAGCCTGTTGAAAGCATCAAGAATTTTCCCTAGAAGTTTGACTGAAATTGGATTGTGTAGTCATCACAGTTGCAAATCTTTGTATAATTCAGTCAACTCTAATGAGATGTTAGGATGGTTCTCAGGTTGAAATGAAGTATGGATTTCACAATATTATTTTCATAATGCTCCCTGTTTTATGTTTTGCAAAGACTGCAAGGAGGATAATAGGAGTACTTTATTTTTTGGTCTGAGCAGAAGACTTTGGAGAGAGAGGTACGACAAGCCAATGTCCTAGTTGTTTGGACAGATTGTGATCGTGAGGGGGAGAACATTGGATATGAGATCATTGAAGTCTGCAAGGCTGTGAAACCCAACCTGCGTGTGTATAGGTCAGATACTTGCTGCTTCTTTTCATTTAAATTTTCTGTAGTATTGCTGCATCATTCAAATGTTTTCACTGTTTTTTACTTTGTGACAGGGCCAAATTCTCAGAGATTACAGCTCAGTCAGTGCAACGTGCTTGTCGCAGCCTTGAGGACCCAGATAAAAGAGTCAGCGATGCTGTTGATGTTCGACAAGAACTTGATCTCAGAATAGGTTAGGTTCTGCAAATCTATCCTTCATGTCACACCAACAAATAGATGTTCAGTGATGATGAGTGTCAGTATCTACACAGATATTACATGACTGAGTTGAATCTATTTACTAATAAGTGCCAGACTTCCCTCCATTAAAATGTTATGTGGTATAACTTTAAGCTTGTACTGAACCACCATGTAATCGACTAGTATTTGTCATGTGAATTTTCATTTCTTTCCTGCACTTTAAATTTAGATGCTTAGTTAGATATGGGTTAGATGCCTAATTGAACAAAAGGAACCTTGTCTTGTCTTAATCCTGTCATCTTTGCATTTTTTTCTCCTCCTAGGGGCTGCTTTCACTCGTTTCCAAACCCTTCGCCTACAAGGGGTCTTCCCAGCTGTGCTTGGAGAAAAGCTGATCAGTTATGGCAGTTGCCAATTTCCTACCCTTGGCTTTGTTGTGGAACGCTACAAAGCCATCCAGAGTTTCATTCCAGAGTCCTTCTGGAAGCTCAAGGGTTAGGAGTATTCTCAGTGTCTTTTAACCCCATAAGTTGGTATGACATATATAAATCCATCAAATGCTCCCCAGAGCATTTGATGGATTATGCATATGCATTTCCTGTAAAGGAAATGCCTGAGGGGCATTTCCTTTTTGTCAGATTATATTTAAAGTTCAAGTTAAATATAAATTTGAAACTCCAAATGAGTTTAAACTCAAGAAAGAATGGTAAATTTCTTACAAAAACATTGATTGTTACTCTCACAAGAATAATTTCTGACTCCTGTGGTAGACTTCTGTCTGAAAAATTCCCCACTCAAGTGGCTAATCAATCATCAGTTCATTTGATATTCCAGTTTCACCTTTAAAATTTATCTAGCTCTGAATGGAACTCAATTGATCTATAAATAAAAGAGGATGACTTCATTTGAGAAACACTGTTTCTGGTTGCAGTGGTTCACAATTACCAGGAGAAGATGGTGGAATTTGTTTGGAAAAGGGGCCGTCTCTTTGACCAGCTGGCTTGTCAGGTCTTGCATGATGTCTGTTCAGAAAATCCTCAAGCAACTGTTGTGGATGTAAAGACAAAGCCCAAGAACAAATGGAGACCTCTCCCTCTTGACACTGTGGTAAGTTATAAAAGATAGCTTCCACTTACCATTCCTGCCAAGAATTATAGAAATTCCTCTATAAGGATCAGAGGAGTTGTTCCTGCACTCAAAAAGTGCTCTCATTTCTTGATAAACAGGAATTAGAGAAGTTGGCATCCCGGAAGCTGCGGATCAATGCAAAGGAAACCATGCGAATTGCAGAACGCCTTTATACTAAAGGTTACATTAGCTATCCAAGGACAGAGACAAATATTTTCCCCAAGGAATTGAATCTTGTGCCGCTTGTCCAGATGCAGATGCAAGATCCCCAATGGGGAGGTCAGTGATCTTATTCTTCAATTTTTGGCCTACGGTAGTGATTGTTGCCTTAAGAGGAATATGTTCTAACCCTTCACATCATTTGCTTGCCTTTGAGAGTGTGTCATAGCCCTCATGGCCCTTACAATTAGGGACTTGATGCTCTCAACTCATGATAGTAATCCATCTTAAACAGGCAAATAGGTGCCAGAGATTTCAACTGAACCTTGAGGTACCCCTGTCTAAACCTAAAATATGGGAATGGCTCCATGCAGGCTCTCCCCTTACATTTTATCATCCAGGAATTTATATCAGTTATTTTTCTCTCAAAAAGTTATTTTTCTCAGGCTGTCTCAAAAAAAGTTAACACTGCAAATAATGAGTTTTATTGGAATTACATTGAAATTGAATAAACCATTTTGTATCAGAAAGAGAAGAAGATAAGAGGTTAAGCTTTCTTCTGCTGAAAACCATGTGAAAATCTATCATTTCTGAAGCAAGATATGGTACAATGAATATTGGACAAAATAAATTTACACACCTTCACAAAAGGACACATTCAAGGCATGCTCAATGTAAGTTCAAGGTGTGCAAGGTGAGATTGAGAGATGGATCACCAAGAAGAGTCTTTTATTCAATGAATACTGTGGCATTTTTGTTGAGAAATGACCAAGTACCAGCAATAGAGTGAAGAATCTCCTGGCTGTACACCTGTGGATCACTAGCTTCTTCAAGCGCTTGCATTGCTGAATTCTCTTTCATAGACTGCTTGCAGTGGTTCACCAGCATGTCTGAATGTTGCTTAATGTAAAGTTTGTCTTTCTGTACCTTGCTTGAGTTCATTGATTATCTTACAATCTTCATCAATCAAGAGCACAATCTCTTCTCATTCCAACTGCCACAAAATTTTAAATTCAAATTTAATAAGAGAAGTCAGTTCTTGCTGAATTCACTTTTTTTTTTAGACCCTGTAGTTTTTAAGGCATCTAACTCAAGTGAGTCTGGAGTGCGTGGATGATGAATGATTGGGGTTATACAGGTTATGCCTGGAAATTAAAAAAATATCCTTGAAAGTTTCCTTTCTGCTGACCTTCAGAGATGTGAGGCTTTAGTGTCCAGTCCTGTGATGTCTTTTGTTTTGTGTGGAAACTTCAAAATCTATTGATTTTGAAGTTCAGATTGTATATAGGTTAGAAGATCAATCAATAGCTACAGCTGAAATCATGGAATGCATCGGAAGCTAGAGAAACTTCAGCCTAAACATAGTTGAGTGCATCATCACATCTCTTTTCCAATCCCCAAAAAGTGCACTGGCAGCCAATGACTCAATGGATGATTGAGAGACATATCAGAATATAAGAAGAAAAAAATTTAAGGACCATTGGCTAAATTAAATTAATCTTAATGACTTTGTCTCTTCATTATTGCATCTTCCTATAATGACAGGGTTACTTGATTGACCAGGTTTTGCACAGCGGGTCTTGGATGGAGGGCCAAACCCACGGCAGGGGAAGAAATCAGACAAGGCTCATCCTCCCATCCATCCAACAAAATATGCTCCAAACCTGGATGGGAATGAGAGGCGTATATATGAGTTCATTGTCAGGCACTTCTTGGCTTGCCTGTCTCAAGATGCACTTGGCCAGGAGACCACTGTGGAGATAGTTGTTGCTGATGAAAGGGTTGGTGAAAGATGCCCTCAGATGAGAGGACACTATATGAACCCTGCTTATGATACCAGGTGGTGCAGAAAAAATGCATTCTGTTTGAGGATAGTATCTACTATGGAAATCTTTTATATTCTTTTTTTTTATCACACAAAAATCACTATAACATTTGTTTCATGAAAGTTTTTGAAGTTTCCATGTTTTTGGAGTTAAAAGCAGCAATTGTTGAAACTTCTATAAGAAAATTCTGCTTTTGCGTGTATCAGGAGATGGTGGTTTCAGCAATGCTCTCCAGATGCATCCCATTAGTTGCCAAAAGCCTACTTCCTATGACTCCATTCTCATCATAGTGCCCTTGATTGTGCAGTGTCATTATGTGATGTCTTTCAAAGGAAAAATCACTTGGTTAAAGGAGTATTTTAAAAAGAAGGACTGGAGAGGAAAGAAACTCCACAGAACAGAGTCACTGAATTCATAGGAAATTCTCACTTTTCTTCCCTCTCCAGTCCATATACTCTAAAACCACATCAAATTCAGGCCTTACCTGAATTTGATGGTGAGACCTAAAGATACTACACAATTGAGAACTAGACACTCTATACTATAACTACATAAGAAAACAACCTATATAGTCTCATAGGAGAGAAATATTGAATATTTTGAGCTGTGTTTTTATCCAGATGACCTTGACACTTGAAACTTTCAGGAAACAAATTTTGTTTATTATTTCCAATATGACTCAAAATAATTGCAAGCCTAGACTTTCTCAGTCCAATTCTTAAAGTGTCAAACAGGATGCACTTTTATTTTGCAGTGTCTGGTATAAAGTAGAAAGTAGGTCAAACCAATTTTTACTTTTTCTTCATTTCCAGTTTACTGCTCATGGCCTGGTTATTCTGGCAAGGAATTACTTGGATGTTTATCCCTATGAGACATGGAGTGGAAAAGAATTACCTTTGTATGAGACAGGTCAGCAATTCCTTCCAACCTCAATTGACATGGTTGATGGGGAGACCTCCCCACCTCCTCTCCTTACTGAAGCAGATCTTATTGCCCTCATGGAGAAACACGGCATTGGTTAGTATCCAAGAAAATGCCAATTTCCTCCAAGTTTCCCCTTGTTTTCCACTGATGACATGGAGTTCTTCTGTATTAACAGGAACTGATGCAACTCATGCTGAGCACATAGAGACCATCAAATCCAGATTGTATGTGGGTCTACAAGGTGACAAAAGATTTGTGCCAGGGGAGCTAGGTATGGGGCTTGTAGATGGATATGATTCCATGGGTTTCCAGATGAGCAAGCCCCATCTTCGGGCAGAATTGGAGGCAGATCTGAAGCTGTGAGCATCTTCATTTATTTTCTGTCCTCTCCCTTTCTAAGATTCAGGATGTTTCACGGACATGTTTTTCAATTTCTCAATTCACTCTGAAAAATTGCATAAATCAATCTGTTGTCATTTTTTTTGCTTTTTTATTCTGTTTTCCTTCAAGAATCTGTGAAGGAAGAAAGGATCCCAAAGAAGTCTTGGCCTCTCAGGTTCATAAATATAAGCAAGTCTTCATAGAAGCCATTCGCCAGGTAATACTGAAGCTCTGGAATCTTATGGATAATATCTTTTGCATTACCTTCTTACGGAATATGATGCTTCCCTCAGGCACAAAAGTTGGATGAGGCTTTGGCACACTTCTTTGGAGAAGCTCAGCAAGTGGAAGCAAACATTGGTACCATGGGATATGAAGCACCTGTGAGCATCATGAAATGTCCCAAGTGCAACATGGGGGATATCATCATACGACAGGCAAGGAACGATGAAGGGAAGGTGTACCTATCATGCATGTCATACCCAGACTGTCGAGCTGCCGTCTGGTTCCCAAGGGAAGTTGTTGAGGTTAAAACAGTCCAAGAGACTTGTCCTGTTGTGAGTACCATTCCTTATCTCCTTGCATGCTTGAACACCCTTGAAATATGCCACTTTCAGATGGATTATTTCTGTATTTGGTTTTGGGTCAGTGTGCAGGAAATCCGAAGCTCCTGCAATTCCGCTTCAAGCCAGGTTCTTTTGCTCCACTATATCCAGATGAGTACATAGCTTGTGTTGGAGGGTGTGACAGAAGTTTTCTGGATGCCTTGAACATCTCTCCTCTCTCTGCAATGCCTTCAGGTTTCCTACTAGACTAAAAACATGTATAGTTGGGCCACTCTTTAGGCTGACACTGGTGAATTTTGCCATCCCCATCCATCCTATTTATGGTGGGGAGTGATCCTGAAAGGAGTGCTAATGTGGAAAATCATTTAGGACACTAATTTTTTTATTACTCCAACTTGAGGGCTTGCTTACAGAGCCAGAGGGATAAAGGGTATTTTTCACCCTCTGCATGACAGTGTCTAGTTGTTCCATTGAGTGTAAACCTAAAGAGTGACCCTACTATAGATGCTACTAATTGGAGGTTCTACTTATTATGTTTTTTTTCCAAAAGGTCCTCGACAAGATGGAAATCTAACACAAAGGAGCATTGACAGTGGCTATGGAAGTACTCGAACTTCCCATCATACTCAGGATGCTACTTCAAGTTCTTCATTCAGTGTCCCAAGCAATCCACCTTTAAGACGTGGAAACAATGCATCGATGAGGCAGGATGGAGACTTTGCTAGGCGAACGCCCAGTACATCGAGGAATGTGCGTCCGGCTGCACAGAATGACACTGGACATGCAAATTCGGTTGTCTGCCATTGTAATGAGGATGCCCTTCTGCTTACCGTGAGGAAGGAAGGCCCTAACAAAGGACGACAGTTTTACAAGTGTGCCAAACCTCAAGGAAGTGGATGCAATTTCTTCCTCTGGGCTGATGAAGCCACAGGAGTGCAGAGTCCAGGGTTCCCTCCTGATCCTGGGGACGATGGTGATAGAACAAGGATTTCTTCCACATTACCAGCTATGAATAGCACCAGTGATGAGTCTCCCAATTGCAATTGCAGCATTCCTGCAAAAAAGTGACCTGCCTTCTCCATTTTTCTTTGTTCTTTCATCTGAACTCTGATCACCATGTGCTGGTTTGTTTTCTCCTGTTCAGGTTGGTTGTACAAAAGGAGGGTGCCAACAAAGGGAGGGAATTTTATACTTGCTCCAAGCCCAGGCAAGAGCAATGTGGTTTCTTCCAATGGGCTGATGAGACATCTATCCCATCTGGAGGTATTGCCTGGACGTGCTGTGTTATTGGCATGCATGCCACTTGCCATTGTTCATGAGTACAATTATCATGTTTCTTGCAGGCAGGGGAAGAGGCCGAGGAAGAGGCAGAGGAGGTGGTGGTGGAGGTGGAGGTGGAGGTTGGGGTGAGGGTAGGGGTAGGGGTGGGGGTGGAAAGAGAAAGTGTGGAGCTTGTGGTCAACTTGGTGAGGAATTATTTTGAGATCTATTTAGCTTCATTATTTTTAATTTGCTTACATATGCACGATGGGAAGTGTTAAGAAAAGAAACTTGTTAAAGAAATGCAAAAAGAAATACGTAAGATTAGAAGAAGAGTTGGGAGTATTAATGAAATCTGTCACTTGGAGCTGTGAAGACTTTATATTAGTAATAGTGGAAGTAGTAGTAGTAGTTCTAGGTTGCTAGATGAATTTTGCACAGGCAACAACTTGGATATCCCATTTGAGAACTTACTTCATCTTTTGGTACAACTGCCCTTTTATTTGTCTCTGTAGGACACACAAAGAGAACCTGCCCATCAGCCCAGGAAGATGGAGATCCATGGTGATCATTGGATTCCTGGTATGTACCTGATGGCAATCCATTTCCTGCCATGTTGGGTTATCCCCTCCCTTCCTTTCGTTTATCATAGAAACAAATTTAGGCCTATCAATTTGAAATCATTTGAATACCATGTGTTTATTGTTGACTGGAAATAAAGTCACGTGACATTTGCCAATGGGGTGAAAATGATTGAAAATTATGGAGCAATGGACTGTGAATTGTGGCATCCCATACTAGATAAATAAGATTCTGAAAAAGCAGAAATTGAAGCTTCTCCATCGTCTATCAGACAGCATGATGCAAAACTTTGTAGTATCATTGCATTGTATAAGATTACATTGGAGGTAGTGTTGAAAGCAGAAGTATGGAAGCTATTGATAAATGAACGAGAGAAGAGGGCATACCGAGCGGGCTCCCGCGTAGTGTTGTTCGGTTGCAATTTTCCCCCCTTGTTTGGTATGGAAGCGGCGTCCTCACTCCCCTTGGGAAGCTTGTAGGAACGCTGTTCCCAATTTCTTCACTGACGGAGGAGGGTTAAGAGCAAATGGATAAGAAGAATTTTATAACCGTGTGGACACGGTTTGACTCAACTTTCCCACGAGAAAAACTCGTGCCAGTTGGTCATTCACATTTCGTACACTCCTAGGATTTATATCGTCAAATATGTATTTGTTGACTTATATGAATATAAGTCGTTGGCAACTAACAAGCGTTTTAAATAAAAGTTATGTTTAAAAAAAAAAGCAATTTCAGGACTGGGTAATGAGATGGAGTAAATCTGAACGAAGGCATTTTTTTTTTAAACATTGCTTCAGCTAAAAACGCTTGCTAGTTGCCGACGAGTTTGTCTTCCATTCCAAAACTGCAACTCTTTTAACAAACAGAAACTGAATTAAAGTTCGGCCCAAATCAATATTCCTGGCCTACAAATCAGATTTTCCTTAGGTGTTCGGTATTACCCAAATACCATATTCTGATTTTCTGTCGGATCACGATAACTGTGCACATTATACGACTGTATGCATTTTTTTTTGGAAGCGTCGCGTTCGGAACCGTGAAGTTCGTCGAGCTC